TGAGCAGCATTAGTAAACTGTGTAAATATAAAGAAATGCCAAATCACATGCAGGTCTTTTCAGACCGGAGACCATAATCGTGTAATAATTTATTTTATTATGATATGAAACGTCCAATTTTTCTTTCAATAATGTTTTTTAAAGTATTGCAAGAATTTCGTGATACTAAACTTTTTATTAGTTGTCATAGCAAGTGATTTTAAAAGTAGGATGGCTCACTTTTTATAAGATGACTGAACATTTTACTTTAATTCGTAGTTTATTCTTACTTTTAAAAACCTAATTGTTTTACGACTACGACTACGACTACTACTACTGTTTCTAGAAGTAGTAATTTTGATAATAGTCAATAGAAAAAATATAACCACACACATTGTTTGTCCACAGAATAATTACACATTGTTAAATAAAAAGCGTCCCGCACGAACCTCTACCTCCGCCAGCAGGACCTCAACCAGGACTCAGTAAAGTTTTTTTTTTCTTTTTTCTTTTTTCTTTTTTCTTTGTGCTTGTCATTCTCAAGCATAGAAATTCGGATATTGGCGTGTGATCTTTTATATGGTAATGATATTAATTAGGGGGCGTTTACAAGGCGGAGATCTGACACCAGTCAGCTACGCACAATTTCAAGATCATTTGCGATTTATAAATGTCACATCTGGAAGAGAGGCGTACGCACGTGTTTTTGTGCGCACGTTCGTTTTCTCAATTACACATTATTAAATAAAAAGCGTTCCCGTATGAACCTCTACCTCCGCCAGCAGGACCTCAATTTCAGACTCAGTTAAGTTTTTTTTTCTTTGTGCTCGTCATTCTCAAGCATAGAAATTCAGATATTGGCGTGTGCCCTTTTATATGGTAATGATATTAATTAGGGGGCGTGTACAAGCTGGAGATCTGACACCAGTCAGCTGCGCACAATTTCAACATCATTTGCGATTTATAAATGCCACATCTGGAAGAGAGGCGTACGCACGTGTTTTTGTGCGCACGTTCGTTTTCTCTGAATCGCACTTATGCACTTTTGAGAAATGATCTTAGAACAAATTTAGGACAAATGCTTAAAGTGGCTTAATGTACCAAGACCGTGATAAAGACAAAATTGTAAAGCATATACTATGTGCAGATATGTATATAAGATCAAAATGTGAACGCAACGCGTTTATGTACACGTTAAGCATTTTCCTCTCATATAAAGAACGCGCTTAATGCACCGAGACAGTGATATTTAAAGACCACATTCTGTACACACACCTTACTAATAAAGCATATGTGTGGAAAAACAGATGAGCCCAAAATATGAACTTTAGAAATCGCTGTCTTAATCCAGAAGCGCTTTCTAGATTACAGTTTTCTAAAGAGAGGAAACGCTTTACATTTAAACATGTCGCGTTGATATTCTGGCTTATCTGCATGTCTTTTAGCATCACTGTCTTAGCACATTTAACCAGCATTTGAAAATGCTACAAAACTTTCCCCAAGCTCCTAGGGATTTGATTTTGCTTGTCATTTGTTGAAATAAATATAAAAAGTACAGTGAGTTCGTGACTGTTCGCTGAATGTGACCCACAATCTGTGATTCTCCTCCGTGGCCATGGAAAAATGAATATTTATAATGACAACAATTATACTTTGTCATTTAAAAGTTTCCAACAAAGAAATGGATCGACTTCTGTCAGCTTGTTGAACACACTTTTATTTGGATAATGTACCATATGATGAAGCAGCAGCGAGCGACACTGTATTCAAGCTAATCGGGTAAACACTGTAAACCAAATTCTACAAAACCTAAGAGAGAAATGCAGTGCATATCATGCAGTGCGATAAAATAGCTTCTCTTCCCTGCAAACGATACAATGAAGAATGAATGGTTGTTTAACTTAAAGGCAAAAACAAAACAAAAGATAAGCATTTATCCTTATAGAGAATGAGAAGTAACCATGGGAACGGATAGCGTATCCTGCTAATATGGCGGTGCCTTCCTGAAATGCAATGCTGAGTGAAAAGATCGTGACGTAACTCCTCATTCTCTATACGCAACATTTTATAAATGAGGCCCCTGGAGTGATCAGCATGTTTTCCCCTAATGCCGAGTTCACACTGCACGATTTTAGCCCGATTTTTCACTCGCCGACAGGTTTTGCGAAATCGCCGACAAATGCCCGACATCGGAGGCAAATCGGTGCTCGTTCACGCAAGTGACAATCACGCAGTGTGAATTATCAAAGACGCGATCTGAGGGAATCGCCGACACGTCGCCGACGCCCGCAAAATATTTGGCATGCTAACTATCTGGAGCTGTATATACTTTTTTATAGAATTAAACGCAATTCTACTGAATAAAAACAATGAAAACGTTTTGTTTAATATGAAAAGTTCACTCTCTTCACTGAAAAAACAAAAAAATAACTGAATGAATTATTTTGTTTGTAGGCTTACTGTACACTGATCCATTATGTAGACTAGTTAACATATATGCTACTGATATGTTACCCTTTCTGTCTAATTCACAAACAAATCAATCAATTGGTGCTTTGTTTTTTTTGTGTTTTTATTAATCTAACCATTTGGCAAATCAGTCAGAAACAAAACATAAGTCATTGTTCTGAATCATGGACTCACTGAATTTGCTTGCATTAACCACTTACTGAAAAGCAGATTTATACTTCTAACTACAGGTGCATCTCAATAAATTAGAATGTCGTGGAAAAGTTCATAGAACTAAAACTGTTTATGTATGCCTTGTGAAAGCACTGCAAAAAATGCAAATCAATAAAATTTAAGTACTGCTGTTCTTATGGGAACAAGAAGATACATACATAAAATAAAAAAATAAATGTTGGAAAAAATAATTTTGATAACTATTTAGCACATTTTTGGGAAAAGGCTAAACGAGAGAGCACTTTATTTGATACTTGATACTTTATGCTATGAGGTATGAACACTTGCCACTTGTCTTGTTTGATGTGTAAGGCTCAAGTGCTTTCTTCTCACCTGCTTGTTTGAATCTCTGGATCAAGCGCTCTCTGATTCCCCTCTGCAGGTTGAAGTAGTCATCCTCTTCATCGGGTGTACGGAGGAAGAGCAGAATGTGCTGGAAGACAAGCACGTGGCGAGAGGGGGTCTGGATGGCTCTCTGCAGCTGGCTCTCCAGCCAGACCTCATGGGCCTCCATTAACTCAGGGCAGCCTGATGAGTCGAAGAAGAACTGAGAGTTCAACACCAAACACAACACCCCACCCACACAAAAACTGAAGTAATCATCGCCCCAATCGCGGCAGAACTGCTCCACGCTCTCCAGAGTGGGTGTGTTGCCAAGATCGTGGTTGCCGCTGACGAACACAAGAGGAATGTCGGGGTCAGTGCCTCTCAGTTCTTCTTTGAGGTCCTTAACCTGTTCTTCACTGAACGGACATCCTGAAAATAAAAAGAGATTTTTCTTGGTTGAAAAGCCTCATTTAAAGAAGTCTGAAAACAGCATCTGCAACCCAATTTAATTCTGTAATGAGAACCATTTCAATAACAGGATATTTAAGGCTTGGTTTTAGGCAGAACAAGTTGTATCTATTTATTTTTTTTAATTTTTAAATATTTGCACACATTATCTCAAACTATATATATATATATATATATATATATATATATGTGTGTGTGTGTGTGTGTTGTGTGTGTATGTATATATATATATATATATATATATATATATATATATACTGTATATACATGCACACACACAATATATTTAGATTTTTTGTGGAATAATATGCACAGGAGCAGAAAAGACTATATACATAACAAAAAACTACAGTTAAATCCTCCGGAGCAATATTGAGCACAGCAGCAATGAACACAGCAGGAACAGTCGGTTTTCAGTGGAAAATAAGATGCAGCGCCAGACGAGTATGTGATAGTATATAAATACTATCTTCAATGGCTCCTTCCATCTTCAAAAGAATACTGAAGCAGGCAATATGTGGAGGATTCAGAATAAAGTTTCTGTTTCATACAGAAGATAGGGAAGCATTCGGTCTAACCGCATTTCTCTAAAGTAAAGGCAGACTGTCAAGCGTTGAGTTTTGAAGCTCGTTAATAACAGCCTTAGGTTACCTCTAATATGACAAGTAGGGCATCTTGCTAATTGCCTGCTGTGAATTTGAAACTCAATGAGTAGCGGAGCTGAAATTAGAGTTGGCATTAGTGACTGTAGTGTTGTGAATGGTAGACAAAGAAAACTAAACCAACAGACCATGATTCTAGTCTATGGAGAGAATTAACCTTACTAAAAATTTGGATACATTTTTTGTAGATTATTATCAAGCAACCCTCTATACAATGTGAGCAAATCACTCATGCGACCAAATTGTATGCCACGAGGATAAAGAATGGCTGTCATTAGCCACTGGCTAGTAAATTTTACTAAAGTTATATTTCACTGCCAGTGATTGAGTTAGAGGCTAAAAATAGCCTAAATAGTAAATATATTTTTACTGTATGTTGTGCCCTATGACTGTTTTCTCTCACACACATGCAAAGACAGAATGCAAGAGAATCTGACATACCATAAAGAATTGTAATGCTAGATGTAAATGTTATTTTAAATGTTATACTGTAGATATAAATGGTAATTCCTGTCATTTTATTATTTATTTTAGCTGTTTACACAAAAATGTCTGTAGAGGTAATTGTCACACAGATCTTTTCAATTAGACAAAGTGACAATGATTAATCATTTCTATGGCCACAGAAAAAAAACCAACAACAAAAAATAGTCCATACAGCTCGATTTGTTATTTTGTATTTATTTATTTATTTTTGATTGACATAAGAAAGTTTTACAGGTTTAAAAATAGATTCATATATATATTTTTTTAATTATAAAAAATTGATATAATTTTTTATTTAGCAACTTCTTTTTTGTGTTGTTTGAAAAAAGCAAGTGTTCTTGGTGTGAACAGGCCAATTACTACTCTTACTTTGTGATCAATGCCATTTCCCAATATCTGAATCTGAGCCTCACTTTGACTTTCTCTCTAAGTTATGTAACATTCAATTTCAACAGGTCCCCAATTTCTCCCAGCAGTGCCAAATCCCACAGAAACCTATTAAAATCTCTCCCAAATGAGATTGCTATCAGATAAACATACAGAGAAATGAGGGCTCTTCCAGAGCTGATTTCCCTCTGGTCAGCCCACTGATGTTCAGCTGCTCCTCAGAGAACTTCACTTTTATCCGCTTTCAACAGCAATTAAAAACCTAACGTATGTGAAAGAGGAAACAGAAGGATAAGAAAACCCCTGCCTCACCTTCTGAGATGTCCCCTACCACAGCACACACAAGGCTACAGGCAGCAGGCAAACATTTTTATAGGCCCCATAAGGAAAGCATCAGGTTCAGTGCTCTCCAAATCTAATCACCTCCCTCGATGATCTCTCCTGCTGCCAGTCAGGAGAAGTCCTTGAACCGGAAAGCTCACAAGGATTCTGTGCCGATATCATGGAGCGGCCCTTCAATTACCGAGTGGAACTTTACTTGTCCAACATGCTGCCGCTGACTGTTCATTATCGCAGACAGAACACAGGAGGTAGAATGGCTGAAATAAAATCAGATTTGGTCGCCAATGAGGCTTGAAGAGTCACAGCACGTGTTTAATGAAGGAAATATTGACTGACAGGGTTGTCCTAAACCCTGAGATTGTCATAAAAATGGATAGTTCACCTAAGAATTAAAATTATTTCACTAACCCTCATGTCGTTACCAAACCTGTATGAATTTTCATCTATAAACCAAAAAAGAGATAAGACAGAATGATTCTGCTGCTCATTTCCATACAATGTAGGTAAATGGTGGCCAGGGCCATAGAGAGAATTCATTAATTATTAATTAAGTATGCATGTACAAGACATACATAATGTACACTCTAAATTCTGGGGTCAATAAGATTTTATTTCTTTGTTTTTAAAAAATATAATACTTATATTGAGCAATGATACATTGATCAAAAGTGACAATAAAGGCATTTATAACGATGCAAAAAGTTTCCATAAAAATATTAAGTAGCAAATTGTTGTCAACATTGATAATAAGAAATATTTCTTGAGCACCAAATCAGCATTAGAATGATTTCGGAAAGATCATGTAACATCACAATTTCACAAAATCACTGCTTTTATTGTATTTTTGATTAAATAAAAATGCTTCTTTCAAAACCATAAAAAAATCTTACCAACCTCTTTGAAATGGTGTCATATGTGAATGCAAATGAGATTTCAGAATTGCAGAGATTTCTTTGTGAATAACACTTTTTTATTTAACAAACATGTTGCTCACACAAAGCTAACATATGGTTTGAGAAGACTTTCTTTGTGCTACTTTTAGTTTACCTTTAGTCATTTGGTCTAGGGCTGGCTAAAAAATATCGATATCTCGATATTAATCGATTCTCATTTTTACGAAACTATATCGATTCTTAAATCCCAAGAATCGATTATTCTAGCCTGATTTCAGTCAATGGACGCAACATTGAAGGGCACTTCCCATCCAATAAATCGCAATAAGCATTGTGCGTTGGTACTTTTAATATGAAACAAAGGCTCAGATTTCAAATTCTGTCCATTGTATTGCAGTATTCAAACAATAAATGCCGTTTTGGCGCTGTTTAATGTGGAGTGACAGACTCTCCTGCTGCCAGTCAGGAGAAGTCCTTGAACCGGAAAGCTCACAAGGATTCTGTGCCGATATCATGGAGCGGCCCTTCAATTACCGAGCCGAACTTTGCTTGTCCAACATGCTGCCGCACACTGTTCATTATGGCAGGCAGAACACAGGAGGTAGAATGGCTGAAATAAAATCAGATTTGGTCGCCAATGAGGCTTGAAGAGTCACAGCACGTGTTTAATGAAGGAAATATTGACTGACAGGGTTGTCCTAAACCCTGAGATTGTCATAAAAATGGATAGTTCACCTAAGAATTAAAATTATTTCACTAACCCTCATGTCGTTACCAAACCTGTATGAATTTTCATCTATAAACCAAAAAAGAGATAAGACAGAATGATTCTGCTGCTCATTTCCATACAATGTAGGTAAATGGTGGCCAGGGCCATAGAGAGAATTCATTAATTATTAATTAAGTATGCATGTACAAGACATACATAATGTACACTCTAAATTCTGGGGTCAATAAGATTTTATTTCTTTGTTTTTAAAAAATATAATACTTATATTGAGCAATGATACATTGATCAAAAGTGACAATAAAGGCATTTATAACGATGCAAAAAGTTTCCATAAAAATATTAAGTAGCAAATTGTTGTCAACATTGATAATAAGAAATATTTCTTGAGCACCAAATCAGCATTAGAATGATTTCGGAAAGATCATGTAACATCACAATTTCACAAAATCACTGCTTTTATTGTATTTTTGATTAAATAAAAATGCTTCTTTCAAAACCATAAAAAAATCTTACCAACCTCTTTGAAATGGTGTCATATGTGAATGCAAATGAGATTTCAGAATTGCAGAGATTTCTTTGTGAATAACACTTTTTTATTTAACAAACATGTTGCTCACACAAAGCTAACATATGGTTTGAGAAGACTTTCTTTGTGCTACTTTTAGTTTACCTTTAGTCATTTGGTCTAGGGCTGGCTAAAAAATATCGATATCTCGATATTAATCGATTCTCATTTTTACGAAACTATATCGATTCTTAAATCCCAAGAATCGATTATTCTAGCCTGATTTCAGTCAATGGACGCAACATTGAAGGGCACTTCCCATCCAATAAATCGCAATAAGCATTGTGCGTTGGTACTTTTAATATGAAACAAAGGCTCAGATTTCAAATTCTGTCCATTGTATTGCAGTATTCAAACAATAAATGCCGTTTTGGCGCTGTTTAATGTGGAGTGACAGATCGCTGAAGCGCCCCAGTTCAACAGACGTGGCAGCGCGAGGCGCGCGTGAACTGATCATCTCCTCCACATTAATACCAGTTTCAGCACAAAATAAACAAGACTAAACATCCGAAGGTAAGTTAAAAGAAAGTACACCTTTACACTCCGTATCCTGTCTCATGTAATCGCTCAATCAGTTTCAACCGTGCAAAGACGTCAATATAACAGCTTGTAAACAACTCATGTAACATCACATTGACTGTATCCCAGAAAGCATATTTGGTGACCATAAACTCATTAGTCAACCAGAAAAATAAACTGTAGAAAGGAGCATTTTGCTAAATATATGCACCATATAACATTCATTATGATTTTTTTTGACTGTTCTTTAATGTTTTTTGTTTGAATAAATCCGTCCAAGTTTTTATGACAGCCACCATTTAAATGTGTATATTAAAAAAAAAAAAAAAAACTAACTGAAGTAATTGTAACTTAATTATTATAAAAACTTCATTAAGTGCAATTTGAGCAGTTGTACAGCACAAATCAGTCAATTTTAGCCTTCAATATTATAATGTAGTACCAACTGAGTCTCATATATATTTTACAGCATTAGTTGAGAGAGATTTTTTTCCTTGAGAAAATTTGGCATGTACTGTACCTGATATGTATCCAAAATAATCGACATTGAATCGAATCGAATTGGTAATCGAATCGCAAGCTTGTGAAAGAGAATCGAATCGAATCGTGAAATTTGTGTCAAAACCCAGTGCTTTGGTCACCATCCACTTTCACTGTGTATAGAAACTTCCCTTTAAAGATGACAAATATATCACATTGACATGTTCCACCACTGGGGAATATGGTGGAATGTCTCCACAAGCTCGGTCAAAAATATACAGCAAGCTTCCAGCCATTTGGAACTGCAGAATTCAAGGATGACTGCTTCGGCTCTATGTGAGTCGAAAGAAAAAAATCAATCACAAAGACACAGCAACGCCTCTATTCCCCGGAGAAGTTCAGGATGTCCCCCAAGACACAGATATTCTTTTACAGGTGCACTATTGATAGCCTCCTGTCAGGCAGTATTACTGTCTATTGTGTGAGCTGCACCACACCAGACCTGCACAAGGTGTGATGGTCTGAATGAATCACAGAGTGTATACTGCCCAGCCTGCAGGATAACCACACCAGGCAGAGCAAGACTAAGGCAAAAAAAAAAAAATCATTACGGATCCCTGCCATCCAAACAACAGCTTCTTCTCACTGCTGCAGTCAGAAAAAGCCTAGCAAAGCCTTGGGGTCAATACTGAGAGGTTCTGGAGGAGCTCCTACACCCAAGCTATCCAGACACTTAATGAGGACTCTGCCAGGGGCCAGCAACACTAACAATACAGCAGAAACCTTTATAATGCACATATGAACTTTATCACACACATATATATTGCTATTATGGTCGCTCAGATGTAGAATATCATACAATAGTCATTTCTCTTTTGCACACCCTCATAATTTTCACTTGCACTTTTGTATATAGTGGAAGAATTTTAACACTTTATTTGCTACCTTCTCATTTTTAACTATATTTTTTGTTCATTTTTGACATGGCACTGAGTTTATTTATTTAGCACCCAGTCATGTGTATAACTTAAAAAAGACACAAACCGTAGGTTATGCAATGTTTACAAGTGGTTACAAAACAGCACATGCTAGGCAAGAACATATTTTTTGGCAGTGCATCAGCTGAATGAGTAATTATTTTAAGTATAACCTCAATAAAAATGAATAATAGGGTGATTTTTGTGTGCATTTTAAGGGACAGGATAGTGTGGTATGTTTTATAGTCATAATTGGGATTTTATCTCAGTATAAAATTGCACAATGTTTATTTTGAATAATTAATATGCAACTCAGACTTATTTAGCAATAAAGAATCATTTTAATAATCAATAATAATAATATTATCATATTAATAATAGAAACATATAAATAGAAATATAAAATATAGTATTTTGATTTTTAAATGTTAAAACTATATTAATTGAATAAATTCAATGTATTGTAGCATCTAAGCATTTCACAAGTAAACATTGTGACATAATATCTCATTGTATGACTTATAACTTGCAGTTGTGATTTATGTGTCTTGTAATTGCGTCTTAAAATATGAGTTTTAATTTTTTTGTTTTTATTGGTAACCCTTTACTTTTTTGTTTGTTTACTCTGAGGCAAAAACTGGCTTGCATACAGTATAAAATGTCATTAAATTAAAAAAAAATCTACTGTATAAGTTTGTACATGTATCTGATTTGATATTTGACAATAAATAATTAATAATAGGACAATTAGGAGTTAAGGTAAAAGGTAAGGTGCTAATTAAAAAAAAATATATAATATGAAAGCCACCTGTTTACAAAGAATAATAGTTGCAACTTTGTTTCTTGGAATTGTGACTTTCCTATATATCCCACAATGTGTCATGTTTCTCACAAATTGCAATTTTAGACTTGTAACTGCATCTTAAAAATCTGTATTTTTTTCTTTCTTCTTTTTATCTCACAACAACATCACCTTATTTTATTTTATTTATTTACTCTGGAAATAAACTTTAAATGGAAATTCTATATTAAAATGTTTGTACACATTTCATTGTGTATCTGACTTGACATTTAACAAAACCATTTCTAGAGAAAACAAGTACTAAGAAAAGTGGACTTTTTTTAATCAAAAACGAAAAATTCCTTCTTTGAGTCAACAATGAAAATTGCTACAGAAGCTTTGTCAAAATGTGTTTGCAGCCTTGTCTGGCTATAATCAACCATCACCCAACAGAGTGTCAGATCAGGGTCACACCCCTGCTTTTTTTTTATTTGTCTGCTGGTGTGTTGTTATTTTTCTGTGATTTTTGTGATTTGCAAAAGGCAAATAAAACTTTGAGGGAGCTGTTCTCTGTCACTGACTTCTGTTCTATCAAACCCTAATGCTTAATGAAGAAGTGGTGAGGAGGAAGTGGCGTAGGTCTGGTGAAGCCTGTGCAGAGCAGAGAGGGAAAACACACTGCATGATGGACATGGCGTGTAATGCATATGGCATCCTCTGCCTGCTCTTCTGGCCTGACACTAATGGGTGTTGATGCCAGGCCGTTTAAAGGTCTCCAAACCTCATAAAATTCCATAGCTGTGCATTTACAGGCAGCTTATCATAACCTGACCTGTAAATTACATCCAGCAGGGAAGCCACAAACCTGGGCTCATATTAAATCAGGCAAATATGACACTTCAGAGTTCCCTCGGATCCTAAAAGGGACAATCTGATAAGTCAGCCATTGAAAAACCAGTTACTGTCAACATTTGGGTGATTTAAATTCACTTGGTGAGAAACATTTATGACAGCTTTAAATGTACTGTCTCTTTGATATTAGCACTCATGTGCAAGACATTCAAGCGCAAGAAACATTGACTCAGAGACCCGGCACTTGAAACCTAATGTACAAACACTCCCGTCACCTTCACAGGTGACTTCCAGTCAACACATTCATATGTGCAGAATAACTGCCGCATGGCCTTCAGAGGTTATTTTTTATTTCCCTGTGTGCTTTGAGCTGAGGCAATTAGATAAGTGCCGAGATTGCAGGTAGTCGGCTCATGCAGATGGTCCACAGCCCCACAAGCTCCAATTCATAACAGCCACCTCAAAGATTAGAGACGACAGAAGAATAAAGAGACTTTCGATGCAAACCTTGTCTCTTCAATCATAAACAGAAAATAAATGAACCTTAAGGTGTGCTTTTTCTCTAATAAATTCTATACTTTTTGTTCTACTACTGGACCTATATCTTATGTTTAACCTGCATATAATATTTTATATTATCTATCTACGTGTTCAAAAATGTTAGTAGTCAACAGCAATACCAGTTAAATTGCACAGTGTTTATTTCGAATAATTAATATGCAACTAAACACACTTATTTAGCTGCAAAGAATAATATTAATAATCACAATAATAATAATATTATCATAATAATCATATTAATAATAGAAACATATATAAATACTAATATAGTATTTGTTATTCAAATGTTAAAACTATTAAATTAAATATTATTTTAATAAATGCAATGTATTGTAGCATCCAAGCCCTTCACAAGTAAACATTAAATATGTGTATCAATTCATTATAAGATGAATAATTACCTGAAATATATATATATATATATATATATATATATAAAAAGCAACAACAAATAAAAACAAAGGTAGAAATTATATAAACAGTATTATTTCAAGATAGTGACTGACTATAAGTAAATAAATTAATAAAGAAATAAATTAAGAGCAGTCTTGTCATTATTGTTAGATTAATATTAACAGATTAATCAATGCATTCATTTCATATTCTTATTTTAAACAATTTATTTCACAGGAACAATTTAGGCCTATATCACAGATAGAGGTATTTTGTTATTTTATTATTACTATTAAAAATATGAGCAAATTACAAGCAATAAGACAAATACAAAGTGCTTTAAGTTTTTTTCCGGATGGTCTAACAGTAGTACTAGGCAGATACAGAAATACTATAGAAATTGAATAATCAAATGTAAAAATAAAACACTGCATAGTCTTCACTGTATGAGTAAAATATACATTGATTACAACTACTTAAGATTAAGTTAAGAACGGTGAATTATTCCTTTATTTTTTATGTTGTTTGATTCAAAATAACACCATAGACAGCAGCAGCTATATTAAACTGCTGTCACTTTATGACTGTCCGGATATACGTCCAGCAATATACACCATATAGCAAAACTCTACTGATACACACTTTGTATTGTTGCCAGTATGCTATAAATATATACTAACACCGCCCTGCCCTATTTGGCACACATCCTGCTTACAAATTACTTAAACACCAACAGACTGTGTTTACTATTAATACTTTGCCAAGACTCTGTAAAAATAAAGGTTCTTTATTGGCATCGAGAGTTCCAAGAAGGACATTTAACATCCATGGAACCTTTCCATTGCACAAAAAAATAGGTTCTTCAGATTATTCAAAGAGAAATCTATCCTTTAGCATTCTATCGGCACCATTACAGTGGAACAGATGTCTCACCAGGCATAGCATGGACTAGGTCTCCACACAGGACCAGGAAGCGAGGTCTGGGCTGTAGTTTGTTGATTGCTTGGACTGCCTGTTTTGTGAGCTAGACCTCCTCAGTCTAGTCATCCCCTCCTGAATCACAGTCACCAATCCTCCGCGCCTTCATCAGGCCAAGCTGGGGGTCTGCAGCCTGGATGAAGTAAAAGGGCCCGTTCCACTCCTTCTGTTCATCTGGGAAGGACAAGAGAAAATAACCTGAGGCTGACAAACCATCTACTGTAAAAATTGCATAATTTGCATAATTAAACATAACATAAGATGCTAACAATCAAACTGTTTAAAGTATTTATAAAAATCTTTATCTCAAGTGAGAGAGTCAGTTAAGGGCACAGCTCTAACACCTGGTATGTGTGGAAAACTTTGTCTCGCTTGTCGTATAGAAACTTCAGCTGTATATAACACCTTCACAGCAGTTCTTGTGTTATAAGGAAACAAAAACGGCAGGAAAAAGTCAATTTTCACACCTCAGGGTTTACAACACAAATACAGCTGAGGAACAGTTTTTACCCATGATTCAGTGAGAATCTTCCAGCATTAAAACCTGGTCAAAATATAAATGAAGACGATACCCTGCTGGGAACATCATACAAGTCTTGTCTTTGCTTTCCACTATACTCACTTACACTGAGTGTGTGAAGAGGTTTTTGACAGTCAGAGCAGCAAGCCTCAAGAGCTAGAAGAAAAATAGAGAATTTCTATCTGTTCCTGATCCTGACAGTGCATCCTAGTAGGGAAAAGAATTTTATGATTCCGATTTATCCTTAGCTGTCATATGAACAGCTAGTCAATAACCACAAAGATTTATGTCTCACAATTAATTGTAAATTGTATGGTTCACTAAAAAGAACTGACCCATAAGAGTTGATCGTTGTGGAGTTGAGCTATGCTAGTTGGGCAGTACGTTTTTGATTACTAAAAGAACTGGCAAAAAAGTCATTTATTGGCAGTTGGACTACACTGCTTGTGCAGTATATGTTTAGATTCACTAAAGTCAAGTCAAGTCACCTTTATTTATATAACGCTTTTAACAATACAGATTGTGTCAAAGCAACTTTACAGTATTAAATAGGAAAATAGTGTGTCAATAATGCAAAATGACAATAGTAAACACTCAATTTTCAGTTAAAGGCAGTTCATCATTGAATTCAGTGATGTCATCATCCAGCTCAGTTCAGTTTATATAGTATCTGTGCAATCAAGTCGACGATATCGCTGGATATTAAGTGTCCCCAACTAAGCAAGCCAGTGGTGACAGCGGCAAAGAACCAAAACTCCATCGGTGACAGAATGGAGAAAAAACCTTGGGAGAAACCAGGCTCAGTCGGGGGGCCAGTTCTCCTCTGGCCAGACAAACCAGCAGTTCAATTCCAGGCTGCAGCAAAGTCACATTGTGCAGAGGACTCAACTGGCTCCTGTGGTCTTGTCCCGGTGG